TGAAGCTTCCTTTGTGGCCCAGTACATCGTCAATGTCTGTAAAGAATAGATATACCAAAGTTTTTTTTTTCTAAAATACAAGCCTGATCTCATCACTTACTTTTCATAAGCTTCTGTGGTCTTCGACTGAAAGACCAACGCCCTCAGTATATTATTTCCCGAAGCTTCCTCTCTAGCCAAGGCCTTGGCCACCCCGCCTTCTGTCCAACAAATTTACGGACTCATAGCTGTCATGCATTTTAGGGTCAGTTTTGAGAAGTTTGAACTATCACAGCTGTCCAGGAACAGAGAGTCCAAAGTCTGGCTTCAAAGGCCCTAATAAATACTCACAGAGCCCACTAGGGAATGGGCCGTCCTCTGAGTCATACTGAGGCAGGACTGTCACCCCATGGGGGACCACTCTGCATGGTGAACTTCAATTCTTATTCACTACTTGTTCCTGCTGAACGAGATTCATCTCACAGAGGCCTCTGCTTGCTGTACTGCTTCCATTTTAATTGGTCAGCATTTTCCCTTCTTTTTATTTTTGCCAGATCCTTAGTGGATCACTTGACAGTAGCATTCTCCCATCATTTGGCCTTCTATGAATCAGTCACTTATCCCCAGCTAACGCCCACTTCTATGAATCAGTTGCAGACGCCCAGCTAAGGCCGACTTCAGTATGAATCTAAGCTGAGCTTCTGCTCTGAAGCCCCCAGGATATGGATGGGAGCATTGAGGGAGGAATCAGATAACCGACTGTCATCTCTACACATTTCTGGTTTCAACCTCAGCTAGGAGCTCATCTCTGCATTGTCGTCAGCATCTCTTCCAAACCTTTTGACCCATTCCCTTTAAATCCCTTAGCATCTTCTCAGCACCTCCTGACCTTTTTTGGGATAGGCTGGTGTGCAGCGGCACCAACCCTCAACCTTGACCTCGACTGCAGCCTCAACTTCCTGGGCTCCACCTCCCACGCTCAAGCCATCCTCCCACCTCAGCCTCCCAAGTAGCTGGGACTGCAGACACATGCCACCACACTCAGCTAATTTAAAATTTTTTTTTGTAGAGATGAGGTCTTGCTGTGTTGCCCAGGCTGGTCTCGAACTCCTGACTTCAAGTAATCCTCCCACCTCAGCCTCCCAAAGTGCTGGGATTATAAGTGTGAGCCACCACGCCAGGCCCTCTTCAGTCACAGAATGATACTGTTTGCTACTTTATGGAGAAAACGGAAAACATCAGGAGTGAGCTTTTATTTAGCCACTTTCACCTCTTTTCCCACTGTTTCAGAGGTGTTTCTTTTCCTCTCTAGGTTAACAGTAATCCTGTCTCCATATACCTTTGACTCCATCCCTTTCTGTCTCTCTGTTTTTGTTTTTTTCTTAAGACAGAGTCTTGCTCTGTCGCCCAGGCTGGAGTGCAGTGGCACAGTCTCAGCTCACTGCAATCTCCGCCTCCCTGGTTCAAGGAATTCTCCTGCCTCAGCGTCCAGAATAGCTGGGACTACCAGTGTGTGCCACCACACACGGCTAATTTTTTGTATTTTTAGTAGAGATGGGGTCTCACTATGTTGGCCAGGCTAGTCTCAAAACTCCTTTATTTTTTTTTTTTGAGATGGAGTCTCGCTTTGTCGCCCAGTCTGGAGTGCAGTGACTCTATCTCGGCTCACAGCAACCTTTGCCTCCCGGGTTCAAGCGATTCTTCTGCCTCAGCCTCCCAAGTAGCTGGGACTACAGGCATGTGCCACCACGCCCAGCTAATTTTTGTATTTTTAGTAGAGACAGGGTGTCACTATATTGTCCAGGCTGGTCTCGAACTCCTGGTCTGGAACTCATGATCCACCTGCCTCGGCCTCCCAAAGTTCTGGGATTATAGACGTG